GTAGGGGACTTTCACCGGGCTTTCCTGAAGAGGACTTGAACGGATCATGTGGAGGTTCCCCTTGCTCAGCATGACTCGGTTTGACTCGGTTTATCCTTGGAGGGGAGTAGAAGGTCCAGGCTTATCCAGTGAATCAGGAAGGCTTCCTGCCAGAGAACAAAAGACAAAGGCAAGCTTAGACTCAAAGAGATAAGGCTAAGGTTAGACTCTGCTAATCTCAGTTAGGCTAGAGTACCCAAAACTGGCAAACACTCTGGCGTTAAAGTAGTGACAATCCGCTGCTCAAGTACTCCTCTGGTAATGAACCAACGAGTCGCAGGTGTACAGGGAGGCCCAACGAGGACAGGGCACCGCCTGGTGGTGGAGAAAGGAAAACACAAAAAAACAACCCACACAAACTGGAATCCTAACATTTACAAAGGTAAAGGTTAAATCCAAAGATTTTGTCCAAGGTACGGCTGATTTATTTGTTGTAGTCTCTTGTTATTAACACACAACAATAAACAGTGATAGCCGACGGGAGTTTGGAAAGACATAAACGGAACAGACCTTAACTCATACAATACTGTATTCATTCAGAAACATTGTAGACTTTCTTACAATACTGAATGCTCTATAATTGTATTTCTGCTATTGTTTGATTATACACATCTGCTACTTTTTATTCTAAAAAATCTTGAATGTTAAGCAGCAAATTATCAAAGTTTTTCAAAAGCCTGTTTAAAAGCTCCAAATGAGGCTTCGGATCGTACAACGACAATTACGCTGTCATTGTTTTACAGGGCAGAATTTGCATTTTGCTGACCCTTGTCCTTTTAACTACTGATGGATATACAGGAATACAGTCATACAAGTGCCATCTCCTTTGAGATGGCACAGGATGCAATTTTTGGCAATTTCTATTCTTTTTTTTTTATGTATAACATGGATGCATTAATACCTCATTTTATTTCAGTGTTAAATTGGGTTTAAAGTAACAGATCATTAAAAATAGCTTCCGGACCTTTACTGGTTGATGATTTTTTTTTTATTCGGACCCACTGATTTTTAATTGGTTACCCCTGCTTTAATGTTTATAAATATTTATTTCCCGTCATGTGCGCCATCCAATGCAGATCATTGGCTCCATCCACATCTAGTGAAAACTTGTGTAATTGGATGAGTCATATAACGCAAATACTCATTGGTGAGCTAAAGGAAATCATGAAGCAAGCAAGTGTTCTTTAAACTGTAAACGCGAATTGTCTATGCCATGCTACAATGTCAGATTCAGAAAAAGATGTGAAAATGTCTGAAAGGTTTGACACAGGCGAGAGCTTATCGGGAGATGGAGACGGAGACCAACTAGACCTTCCTCATCCTTGGCCCTATATTAAAGATTTTTTCGAAATAGTCGAACAATTGAGCTTTCAATTCATATAGTGGTATCTGGCTGTTTTTTTAAAAGCTTACTTTATACTTTCAGTAGTTTTTGGAGTACATACTTTTTCAATTTACTTGAGTAAAGAGGTCAAGTTGATACTTTTACCAGAGTGTTTTTAAACTGCAGGATCTATACTTCTACTTAAGTAACAAATGTGTGTATTTTTGACACCTCTGAAAAAAGGACAATGAAAAAGATTGATGGAAATGCAATGAAAGGTGTAGCTGTGCAAAACAAAATTTCGTTTTGTATATAAAATGATAATAAATGTTGTCTAAGAGGTAGGGTTGTCACGATAGTAAACTTTTCAACTCGATATCGATACTAAGGAAAATATTCGATACTTGATACCATTTTCGATATCAAAAGAATAAAAACTCCAAATTTCAACAGAAATATTTTGATAATTAAAATACAATAAATACATACAATAAACAATAAGAACAATATTTTGAGGTTGTATGCTGTGCACAATATTAAGCAAGCTTGATAAAAAACTTACAAAATTAAAATTAAGTTTTCCTTACTTGGCTATGCTTTGCACACATAACAATGACCCTAGCCAAACCGGTTAAGAAATTAAAATAATTCTCAGCAGCTGCACCTGTTACAAAAAAAAGTGTGAAACTGAAAAGTGCGTAGAATTATTCAATCACACAGTGTTCAGAAAGTGCATTGTCCTCTATTCTGAACTTTAGATGAATGACTGCTTAGGTGCCACTGGTGGTAGCACTGTATCAATACTTTTGAAAATGAGTATTGTATCCGGATACAACGTTTCAGTATCGATACTTTTTTGAGTATCGATACTTTTGACAATCCTACTAAGAGGGGAGGAAAAGGAATTAAGAAAAATTAATACAGAATGTTGGATGCTTGACAATCATAAGAAAAGGTGTAATGTTTAGACTCTCAACACAACTGGTAAGAGACGTGATGGAGTTTAGTACTACACTCTGTGAACATGTGAAACACTTTATTCTTTAATAAAAATTGAATAAGCAAAAAAAGTGTCTCAAGTAAATGTTTTATACTTACCACCCTCTTCTGAACCAATGTCTTGATAAATAGCTGGGTCATTATTACCTGCTAAATCAGCTCTGGCTTTCTTTTTCACTTATAACCCTGAATGACTAATTGTCATTATTTTCAGGAGAATAAAGTCCTTAATTTAAAGATTTTCAAAAGTCTGCCTCTACCATTTGTTTCAGCTGCTATTTTTAAGTACTGTTAGACTTTCCTAAGTTTGGCTCCTCTTCATTTATTCAATGACAGTTTATTGTTTTCAACAGGTCATTAAACCATTGAAACACAAGAAATTAGGTGCATTAGTTGATCTGACCAAAGGGGATAAGACTGAAGTACAGACTTTTGCCGCAAATATTTGTCCAATACAAACTATTACTTGCATTTTGTCTATCTTATCTTATTTAAACCTAATGTAAAGCAGTTTGTATCTACATAAAGTCGAAGGGAAGCAGCTGTTCCAACGGTTACAGTTCCGAATTCTCCAGAGTGGTGTCCGACTTTACACGAGTGAATAAAGTGAAATGATTGGTCGTTTATCAAGGGGGCGGGATTGTTGTGGCAGAAGGTTCACAAGCATTTTTGGTTGTGGTCAGGGTCTCGGAAGCATCTTGGTATCCTATTAGCGACTTAGTGACAGTGGGAAATTACATTGACACCAAGTATTACTACATTGGTGACTTAGCACCAACACTGTCATGGACGCTATGGACAGCAAAACATGCAAGAGGAGGAGAGTTTTGTGTTGGAGCTCATGGATGAGTCTCTTGCATCATACATTTTTTATTTAGAGAGGGAAAGTGGGGACAAAGATGTAGTGGAAGAGGAGGCCAGGGCGGCTTCATTTGGTTTATGTTTGAGCCTTTTCCTCACAATGCTGCTAGCTCTGTTGGCTCTATGCCTGCCGAAGACGTCCATCCCCATGAACACTGGGACGTAAATCAATGGTAAAGTAAATTATTCTTATTTCTTATTTCAACTGTTGTGTATATTTGCTCTGAAATATGAATCAAAATACTATGACCGAAATAATTTGATTGACAGATGACTGTTGATATATGATTCGCCAAATTAAAACACAGATTTTAAGACAGGGTTTTTTTTTTTTTTTTTTTTTTTTAAGAAATAAAAAAAATTAATTGTCAGATAAAGAGTACATTTATATACAAGTTTAAGCCAGAATGACTTTAAGAGAAAGAACCTCCAGCAGAACTAGGTTCATAAGGTTATCTATCTGCCGAGGCCGACTGGGGTTCAAGAAGACAGAAGCAGACATAGAAAAAGAAGCAGAGATACAAAAGGCAAATGTCACCCACCTCCACCAGTGGCTCCATCAAGGAAACACACGGCCAGGCAGACGAGCTCTGAGACAGACACAGACGTCCATCCCCGTGAATACTGGGACGTAACTCAATGGTAAAGAAAATGATTCTTAAAAGATGCTATGACGAAAAAATGTGATTGACAGATGACTAACTTAGGTGTACAAGCTGATGTATAACAAACTGGCCTGCATAAAATAGCGGAAAATAACCCAGAGATTTTAACACAGGCTATTGTTTTAAAAAGAAATTTTCTAACTTTTGGGCCAATATGATCTGATAAAGAGTACATTTATATACATGTTTAAGGAGGAATAATTAAAATTTTAAATATGACTTCCCTACGACTTTAAAGGCTAGTTGCTATCTGGTTGGGAGAGAGGTCTTATTAGAAAAATAAATATTTTTTTTATATCATAAATAATGAAAAAAAAAATGTGCTTAGTTAAACACCACAGGGGCTTCAACTGGTGCAATGAGGCTTTTGCTGACTAAGAATGAAATTCTACACAAACAAAAGACTCCATGCAGTCTTTTAAAGGAAAACAAAAAAAAAAAAATTGTGGAAAAGGGCCTCATGCCACTTTATATGTTTGTTGAAGGCCTTTGGTTCTGTGGACCTTTTCTCCTACATAGTGCATGAAATTATAAACTTTAGAAAAAAATAAATGCTAAAAAAACGATTTAAATGGCAGGAAAAACAAAAGGTAAAAAATATATGCCTTTTTTTTACTAAAAAGGGCTGTACAACTTACTGCAAGAGCAAAAGCGATTGGGGCAATCGGGTTTTCTCCCATCAGAATAATGCATTGAGATAAAACTTTTAAGTGTCTCATGCTACTGCTGTGAAAATTACTCTATATTAAAGTTTTTACACATCCATAACACAAGCCTCAACAAGCAGTCATCATCGAAAACACATCCGTCTGCAGGACAATCTGGTAAGTTGAGAATAGCAGTAGGGTTGATTTTTATGCGACCCAGTTGCCTATGTACCCCCTGCAGTTACCAGCAGAAGGAAAGCATATTGGTGCCGGTGTGTGGGTGGTTTGGGGACAACACAGCTTTTAGGAAGAAAGAAGAAAAAATTTCACAATACAGCTATACCAACTTCATAGTCTAAAGGAGAAATAAATTAGACTTTTGGTTTTTTTGAAAGATCTTCCTTTTTAATGAAAATCCATGTAGATAAAAAGACAGATTAAAGACATTACAGAACACAAAAGGGTTTAAATACACTAAAAGGTGAAATTATTTTCCATTTCTTCCAGCCATGGTATTGAATCACACTTAAAGAAACCTTACAACTATGAAAAAAACTACTATTAATGTTTAAAAAAATTCAAATGTTTAAAATACTAATTTATGAGATGCAATAAGATAAATAAACAACAAAAACTTACAGCATGTACCATTTTTTCTAAAACTTGCAAAGAGAAAAAAATGGGATAAAGTGTTTATGCTTTCAACATCACAAGGAGGAAAATCCATATTTATTACAACAGTATGAAAACTAAAGTCAAAACTAACAAACAAATAAATAAATATAATGTTTAACTGGGTTTGATCAATAGGGTGGGACATTGAGGGCACTAGCATGCTATAGGGGATGGGGAGAAACAGGGGGGACACCCACAAGGGTTAAAGGTGATTTCCTGTAGCTTTTAAACGCATGCTATAAACTGGTAATTATGGCCTCAGCAGCGGCCGTGACAGGACAAGCGTACAAAAGGTTTGAAAGAAAAAAATGTTAAAAAGTAGGAACATCAAGGCACAGAAGGTGAAATGCGCTCCATTAGAAACGCAGATAATTATAATGGCATGTTTTCTCTTATGTTGCATAATAGCCCTTCTAACAATCATGTTGCAATAACCCAAACTTGCAAAATAGCATATAATCATCCGCTTACAACAGAATCACAGAGAAGCTTAGAATGGGAATATAGATTTTTGAACCTCTTTTACAGCTCAGTTTGTAAACCTTAAAATCCATCATTCCATCTGATCTGACAGGCTGTTTATTTTAAAGAAAACATCCCTGCAGCAAAGCCTCAACATCTCCAACTCCTTCTTTGAGCTTAAAACTGCCACCATTGATAATAAATCATACACAGTACCTGAAGAAATATTAACAAAGAATAAATCCTCACAGAGGATTGTCTTAAGTGTTTTCCTCTTTCCAAAAATATATGCTCCTAATGTGATAAAATAAGCAAGGCACTAAGTGAGCCAACCATTTAGTGTAGCAATTCTCTTCTTTGAATTCAAGTGTCTTATTCAGGGAAAGCCCCCCCCATAAAGTGTTAAGTTTTATATGTAAGATTTGTGTTTTTGTGTCCTGCATCAGCGTCTCTTAACTCATGGTCGAGTGAGTTGGGTGTAAACTGGAGCCTGCTCCCAATGCTGCGAGCTGCCCTGAGGGATCGATGGTGCCCCTGCGTTATCTGCTATGGCTGTATACATGGACTGGACTGGGGTTGCCATGTAACTGAAAGTAGAGTACAGACTTGAGCCCTGTCCTGCCCCCGCATGGCTGTGGTATGATGTACCTCCCCCCTGGTGATCAGGGTACTCATACTGATGTGCCCTGGAGATGGCTGGGTAGGTGGAGGGGCTGAAGTGCTGCAGGCTGAAGGGGCTGTAGGTAATGTGCTGTGGGGAACTCTGCTGGTCGCTGTAGTGACTTGGACTGAGCTGCTCTTTCTTGATCTGGGTCCTTGGCTGGGCCTGAGGAGCATCTGAGCCCCCACCCCCCAATGTGGTTAGGGTAATCTGTTGCTGCTCTCCTTGCTGGTTCTGGCTTTTCGTCATCCAGGCTGCCCCCCCTCCTGCTTGTGGACTAAGTGGGGCCCCGTTGCTGATGCTGTAGCTGCCAATATAGCTGATGGGAGTGGTGCCAGCTAGACCCAGATGGCCATTGGGCGGTAGGTACTGGTCAAACTCATTGACGTCGAAGGTCTCGATGTGAGAAATGACATCGGTGCTCAGCTCAGTGATGTCTACATCATGGAAATCGATGTTTAGCTGGCGCCCAACAGTGCCGTCAGGCAGAGCACGGAGCCCCACTTCACGCTTCAGGTCTATCTTACCTGAGCTGGAATCAGTCTTTGGGGTGGTAGGAGGGGTTGGAGGGCCCTGTGAGCCTAGAGGATCGAAAAAACTTTGTTTAAATGACTGTAGTTAAGTCTCACTTGTAACTGCTCATATTAAAGCATCCTTTCCTCACCTGAGTGTTCAGCAGGAGAGTGCAACTCCCCCATGCTGGAGGCAGGGGAGTCTGCCTGCTGGAGAGCTTTGAAAATGGCGTTGGTGGAGATATGTGTCCGGTCACTGCAGTCTTCTGACTCACTTTGGCCATTCTTTACTGTCTTCCTCCGCCGGGGTTGGTATTTATAGTCCGGATGATCCTTCTTGTGCTGTACCCGGAGCCTTTCAGCCTCTTCCAC